ATACATGCATATATATATATTATATATGTATGTATATCAACAAGGTTATAGTGGAGAAGCTTAGTGATCAGTGTGGTGTGGCTACTATGGACAAAAGGGGAGTTAAAAGGGCCAGAAAAAATGAGAGTCACAGACCTTGAGTCCAGACTGGTTCAACCTGAATCTGCAGGCACAAAGCCCCAGGTCACAGCCTGCATGAGCACTGAGCAGTAGCTGACTGATGCCAATCATGCGCAACAAGAGGCTTTGGCTACATCTATTCTGCTTGCTTTCTTGGCCAATAAAGTACAACTCCTTTGTTCTCAAACCCTATTTCTAAAAACTATAGACTCCTATCTCTAGCACCTCCCAGAGTCTTCATGGGCAGAGAGATCTCTCCAGATCATTTTTTTCTTGCTCTTTTTCTTTTCTTTTTTTAAGATTTATTTATTCATACAGAACCAGGGTAAAAGGAGCATTGAGAGGCTTCACCAGAGACAGAGTGGGGAGCAAAATAGTCAGATCAACTGAAATACACTCCTGTGTATCACCTCCAGGGCCGGGGATCATACTCACAGAGGCGGCTGCACTGGCTTGCAGTGCTGCATCCTAACTGCTGACCACCAGGGAGGGCCCTCTTGCTCTTCTTCTAATCAACAAAACCTGACTCCTTTCCTCCCCTTACAGGTGCCTGTGGTGTCCTCTTTTCAGTCTTGATAAGAGCGTGTCGAGATCCCATTTTCTGACCTGGAGGACAGACCCCTTGATCTATCCTTCTGACTCCTGGCAGGTGGGTCAGTTTGCAGCAGCTGGTCTGCTGTTAGCTCATCTGTCTGTTTTGTGGTGGAGGTTGGGATCAGGCTGAGTCCCCCACCCCAATTCCTTATCACCTGTGTGGTGACATTTATTCTCACTGCCTATGATGTAATGAGTCCTAATCACCCCTCACTACTGGAATAATCTTTTAATTTCCTAAACTCTGGTTCATCCTACACCCTGATAGCTCTATAATCTTTTAAAATCACAAATCCTTTAATGCTTCCCAATTGCCTTCAATCAGTCATTTAATCATGGTTGCACAATAGAATCATCTGGAGAGGATTTTTTCAGTCAAATATATAATTTACCCTTATTATATATATATCCTTAAATATATAATTTACATATAATAAAGCACACTGATTTTTAAATTTATAGCTCAGCTTGTGTTTAATAGATATGTCTGTATGTCTGCCAAAATCAAGATAAAAATTTCAATCACTTCACAAAGCTACCATATATCCTTTTTCAGTACAAAAAAAAAAAAACTTACCAGTTTTCTGTATTAAAGATTACTTTTGCTCTTAAACTTTACATACATTAACTCAGACAATATATCTTCTGTGTATGGCTAGTGTGAGACTCAGTCATTTTTTCCTTTTCACTGTTAAGTAGTATTCAATTGTGTAAAGTTATCAAAAATGTTCTCCATTCATTTGTTGATGGACATTTGGAGTCCATCCAGTTTGGAGCTATTATTAGCAAAGTTTCTATAAACATCTGTGTACAGATATTTTGGCAAACATGTTTTCATTCTTCTGGATCAATACTTAGAAATGGAAATACTAAGTCTAATGATAACCACATATTTAACTTTGGAAGAAACTGGCTTTTTTCCAAAATATATGTACCTCTGCTTGCCAACAAGTATCGCATGAGAGCAGCAAGCAGAAAGTTAGGGAACCATTACTGCTTACCCTTGCTTCTCTTCTCTGCAGTATTACAGATTTATACTGTCTATTAGCCAGCATCCCAAAACAATTGTTTCATATGTTATGTCTTGTTTTTTAAACTGCTGGGTTTGGTAAGGCAAGCCAATGCTAGGCATGTATGTTCAGTAGCAAAGTCCACTTCAAGAGCCTCTTACGGAAATATGCTGCTAGACTCCCACACCACAAAATCTTGAGTTCTGCTATAGGGAGAAGATGGGAGGGAGAGGTTGGGGTTGAAAGAAATCACCAGAGACAGGGTAGAGAACAGAAAAGGGGGGTTTATTGAAATACACTGCTAAAAGAAGCAACAGATGAGACAGGAATGGTTTGCTCTCGAAGAAACATTTGGGGCTCCCTTATATAACCTGTTTTTGCAAGTTTTTAGTGACTGGGGAGTCAGTTTGGGCCAGTTAGTACTGGGATCTCTGGCCTGGGGTGTTGGCCTTTGACACAGAACTTAACCTGGCCCTGGCTCCACATTCATGATCTAATGAGCAGTCTTAGGGCCTGGATCCCATAGGAACATTAATTCCTTTTAATCTTATTAAATAATACCCACACAAGTGTCTGGGAACGCAGAGGGTGAGGGGTTTGTCTTTCCTTGTCTTTTTGTTTGTTTGTTTTATTTTTCTCTTTTTTGAGAAGGGGAAGTAGGGCTGTGTGGTGAGGTTTGTAACCGTGCAGCAAGGTTTAAAAACCAATAGCCCAAAGGGTCACGTTCAATCTCTTAAGACCCTTGAAGATCCATGAGCCAGATCAACTTCCATTCTAAATCAGGGCCTGCCTCCTATCCCACAACCATCATTTGTCATATTGCCTAAGTTACAACTAAGTAGGACTTGATCAGCATGACATGGTATTTCAAATCTCTCTGCCTTTCCCCTACGCTCTTTTGGTCTAGTCTACTTACATTGCAGGGCAGGGAGAGAGAAATAGCTGAACCCCCCAATCCAGCCTGCTCTAAATAGGTTCTGCCATCCACCACATCAAGACAAAACATATACAACCTTTAATGGAAAGGAACTTTAATAGAATCAGTATGCAATACAGCAAACATAATGAATAAAGTTTCTAAATCAAATCCCCAAAGTTACCCAAAGGGATTGGCCCAAAGCAAGGCCTGAATGCCTAACATAAGTCTAAAGTACCTTCTGGAGGGGACCCATAGAAAAGGGTCAGAAATGGCCAGACAAGACTGGGTGGAAAAAAGCAAAATCAAAATCAAAATAAATGTTGCCATAGCTAACCTCCCCATGGGTCTTTCACCAACATGTGTTTCAACCAGTCCAGGACCAAGAAACAAGAACAAGACTTCTTCACAGATCTCTCTGCTCCATGTGGCTCCCTCACGTCTCCTTCTGGCTCCCCATCCTGCTTCCATCCTCTTCAGTCTCCTCTCCAGATTTTTCTCCTTCCTGCTCAGCTCCACTCTCCTTCTGGGGGGGGGGGCAGGAAACTGGGAACCTCCCCTTTTCCTGGGGACCACCCTGTTACACTTAAAGTACAAATCCCTTATGGAATTTGTAGTCTTTCATAATTCAGCCAATATGTCATTGGCTTCATGGGGCACAAAGAAGGACCAAGCATTTCTTTATTAGTTATGCATTCAGAGTTATTAAGATTTATTTATTAGTTATGCAACAGAACTGGGGTAGAGTTGCAGGGGCGGTGCAAGGGTTCACCAGAGACAGAGTGGGGAGCAGAAATGGCAGATAGATGAAGTACACTGGGTGAGACAAGAGAGGTCTGCTGCGCCATGTGGATCACCTCCAGGGGAGGGGATCGAACTCGCACTGAAGTGGCTGCAGCTGGCTTGCAGTGCTGTGCTTTAACCCACTGTGTCACCAGGGAGGGCAGGACCAGGTATTTCTAAGGTAGTATCAAGAGTAGTACATAGAATTTAGTATCAAGAAAAGTACATAGATAACAAATACAAGATTTAGATAGGGTACCACCATGTAAAAGAGCATACAACAGTCATTATTTATCATCTGGTTTCTTCATGTTACAGGGCAACTCCAATGTGAAATGGGTGACCTGACTATGAATCCTCACCAATGACTTAAAAGGCACATATAAAGAGACTCAACTGCAGGCACATACAAAGAAGTTAATAAACGGTTTATTTACAGAACATGAAAACAAAGAAAGGACTAACAAGGGAGAAAGAGAGAGAGAAATAGTGAATGTGTCCTACCAGTTCCCCTGAGCTGGAACAATAGCACACTGAAGGCCTTCAAAAACCAAGAATCCCCCAAGGCCTGGTTATAGATCAAGCCTGGCTACTCAACTCCACCCTCAGTTCCCAGAAATCGTCCATCCCTCCTCTCCCGCCCCCCACACCTGGTGATGACCTTATGGGATTTGTAGTCCTTGGAGTCTTGGATTTCTTTGGTCTGGGATCTGTGGGGGTAGAGTACAGAAAACCTGTGTTAATGGAATTCAGTCAAGACATTCTTTCCCCCCAACATTCAGATACACAAGTATTAACAATATTTACCCGGCAGAAGAGAAGTTGACCAGATTATTCATGGCATACACCTAGCATGTTGCAAGTAGCAGGCATCAACAGAATACTCCCTTCACACCCTAACTTCCACTTATATAACACTTCTTGAGAAGCTCCAGTGCAAATTGTGTTTTACTATCTATTTGCAACTGTCTTTCCTCCCACTAGATTGTGAGCTTTATGACAAACATTACTTTGTTTACCTTTGCATCCCCAGGGCAGAAAGATGCCTGGTACAAGAGTGGAGCTTAAAAAAATTCTCAGATGAATGAATAGGATTTGATCATCTCTAATCCGACGCGACTACAAAATGCTTGCAATGCTCTTTATTCCCTGCCCAATTCATGCCTTGAGTTGCCCAAGTCCCTGGTAAGGAAGGCGAGAGAAAATCTGACCAAAACTAGAAAAACAGGTTGCACTTTTTCTGGACTAAAATATCCAAGGGAGGTTTTCATTGTTGAGTTAACAGAATCTGCATATTTATGCTGCCCTTCGAGCAGCCTACGCTGCCTTCAGGGCTGCGGCAAAAGGACCACCAAGCTTATGCAGAGGTTTCTCCGAAAAGAAATCCTCCGAGCCAGCATCCTTTGTGGGAATAGGCGGACAGGACAGGTGAGCCGACCTCCGGGCAGGTGAGCGCGCGGATTCTGGGGAAGCAGCGGCACCACCCACCCGGCGCGGCTCTAGCGCAGTTGCCAGGCAACTGGCCCCGGAAGTCGAGCGAGGCGCGTCCGCAGCTGGCGCTGACTGTCAGATGGAAAATGGCGGAGGGCGGCGGTGGCGGCGCGGAGCCGGGGGAACAGGAGAGAAAGTCGTCGGGACCACGGCCCCCGAGCGCGCGGGATTTGCAGGTGCGGCGAGCGGCTGAGGGAGGGCGCGTGACCGAAGGCCCCTGGCGTCGGCTGAGCCCGCCCAGACCGCTTCTAGGGGCAGAAGTGTCGCTCTGGCGCAGTGGTTTTCCCCCGGGGGCACCGTAGTGCGGTGGTGTCCGGACACAGGTGTCAGCCCTAGTGTCTCTGGTGCCGTGTCCCCTGCACCCCCTTTGAGCTAAAAAGCAACTTTGCACTTAAGAGTAGCGTTTTGTACGGTCTGTCAAGTAGTTAACGGTTGATGCTTCTCAGGGAGACTCCGGGCAGAAAAAGCTTTTCTGTGGCCTTAGCAAATTCATTGATCACTTTGAAAAAGAGTGTGTGCTGATCTTTTTTTTTTTTTTTGGCTTGGATGTTGTTATTCTTCTTGATTACTTATATAGAAAAATGGTCCCTCTTTAGCAGGTGGCTTTTCTCTTTTATGAAAGGATGAACTGAAAAGTATTTCGTCCAGTGGATGCAAAGTTACCGTCTAAAAAAGAATCAGGGAAATAACTTGATGTTGTAGGACACTGACCTGAGTTAGTGGAAACAGTGTGCCGACTCCTGCTTTGTCTTATACTGAACATTACCTTGCTTATTTTACGTTTTTCTTCTAACCCCTTACAAAATCATTGGGAAAATTCAACAAGTAAACAGCTATTAGGAGATGTAATTGAAAAGAAATGGCAAGGAATCCACAAGCCTAGATACAAAAGTTCTTTATATTACTCTATAGCCGCATCTGCATTCTACTTATTCGAACAAACCTTTTAACCACCTGCTAACTGCCATCACCTGTGATGGCGATAAATTGGGCTTTAAATCCGCAGTCGATAATGGATGCTGGTGAGGGTCATAGAAATGGACGGGGCATTTCTACCTTTTAAATATTTATTTATTTGCAGAAATAAGATATGAATTTATTTACATAACATTTACATCGGAGTGTGACTAAGTTTCACAATAAGCAGCGCATAAAACCAGTACCTCAAAGAATGGAGAAATTTGTGTCAGGTTGGAAGACAAACTGTAGAATAGTTGGTCAATTTAGTAGCAGTGATTAGAATCAAGAACTAGGGAGCCAAAATTTTCTGTCTCTTTTTTATGGACACCAGCCATAACTAAGAGGCAACATGGAATATTGGGGGAAATGGAGTTACTGGCTAGACCAACTTCAGTTTGCATTTGGTCCTGCCACTTAGTGATTGTGAATATAGAAGGCATTTCTTAACTTTCGCTGATTCTCAGTCTTTATTTGTAAACCAGGAATGGTGATGTTAAACAGACTAAATAATGTCTGTAAAATACATAGGCTAAACTCCCAAGACCCAGTACTGTTGGAAAATAGGTTCCTCAGGTTAAAGGTGAAAAATAATATAACATTCACTGATCTATTCTAATGCTATTAAAGTTAAAACTATGTAATTTGATATCCTTTCTTTACATAGTCCGCTTTTTTCTTTCTTTGTGAAAAATAAGAACAGCATGGTCTATTTTCACCTGATACTTGGCAAATTTACAGACTTAACCCAGTGAATTAATGCATGATTGATAATTGCAAATATTCTGGTAGATTCACCAATTGTGAGATTACCTTGGTTTCCACCATCAAATAGAATCTATTAATTTTTTTCATGTAGCTACTTTCTACTAAATGGGTAGGTAGGTAAAATAGCTAATTTTTGTTGTTGTCTGGGATTTTGTACATCAGATGCACTAAGTATTGATAATCTTTCCTTTAGAATTTAATAAGAATGTGAAGAACCTGCAAAGAAACCTGAAAACAACCAAAGTGATGATGTATAAAGAAATAGAGTATGTATCAAAGGTTTAAATTGATAATGTTCTTTTCAGCTGGTTTCTTGGATGTTGTTAATAAGTGTGACCTAGCCACACTTATTTTAGGAGTTATTCATTTAGTGTAGTGTTTAGTAGTCTTCTTACTTTCTTTCATGGTGTAAAGAAAAATGGTGATGTTACTAACTGAAGGAAGCAAAAGTACCCTGAAGTACATATATTTTAGCTGCATTGCATTTAAGTTTTGTCAGCATCCAAATCAGGGGGATTTCCTTAGGTACGACTTTCCTCAGGAAAGAAGCTACTTGATTTTGAGAAAGCTTCATATCCCATGTCTCTAACTTACAGACCATAGAAATCTCATGTGTATTTCGAACTCTCTTCATCTCCCCAAAATGGGATACTTTGTATGGGAAAATGGGGGGTTGCTGGATTGTTAGTGACAGTAGTAACCCTGTCGGCAGTGGTGTTCATAGTATTTCTGAATATTTCAGAGACCTTTTATCTCTTCAGGTGCCTTCAGTCCATCTTCACACATGCTTAAGGTCTTTAATTGTATGATTCTGCCCCAGCTTTCCTTGCCAATTACATCAAGAGAAAAATACTTGTTTTTAATTTTGTATTTCCATATAAATTGGAGTTAGAGGAAATTAGGGATAATTACATTGTTTACTAGGTTTGGGTTTTGGATGAAGCAAAGAGGAGAGTTCTATAAATGAGGAAAGAATAAAAATGTCTGATACTATCCTGTAATTGCCATACATATCCTAATCTTTTTGAATATTAGTATTCTCTATCATTACTTCTCAATTCACTGTGCATCAGAACTACCTGCAAGGCTTGTTAAAGAGCAAGTGCCTCACTCAGAGTTTCTAATTCATTAAATCTAGGGGGTAGGGCTTAAACATCTTATTTTTTCCCCCAAAGGTTTCCAGATCGTGCTGATGTTGCTATTTTATGCAAAAAAAAAAAAATCTGTATATTGCCATCTGACAATTTTCCCTCTAACACTGAAAGAAAACTCCAGTACTTGCAATCTTTTATTAAATATTTGATTTTCTCACTCTCAGTTACTTTGCTTATAGGCTTCTTTTCATATTCTTCACATGCAAATCCTGAAATAAAAAAAAAAGATTATCATTGCTTACAAATTATTTTTTGTGTACAGTTGAAATAGCCATATAGTCTAACTGCTTAACTATGGAACACTGTTCTGGTATTTCACAATGCATCATTATTGCGCTGTACACTTTTCACAGTGCAAACCAAAGGGAAAGGGCATGATTCAGTTAGTGGGTTCTCACCCACTTGCTTAAGAATGGAAGAACCTAAAAACAGATACAGAGAAAAACAAACAAATAAGGAGGAGGGTGTTTACTTACATGGGGAGTTAGGAAAAAGGAAAATGAAGAGAGAGAAAAAACGAAACTGGTTTTGGCTGGCACATAGCTAGATGCTCTCTGGATATACCCCAGATAACTTCTGCTGAGCAGAGACTGGGAGCTAAAAGGAAGCCACATGTGGCAAGAAGGTCACTGTCTGCTCAGTAGTCGTCTGAGGGAGCAGGGGCCTGAAGGAGAGAAATAGGGTAGCCCTGCTCAGGGAGGATTAAGGCGCTGCAAGTGTGGCAGAGAGCAGAAGGACCCCAGGGTGAGTGATGGCTCTTCTCTGCTCCTGTTTTCTAACAGCCCAGCTTAGGATATTAGGGCGTGCAGGCTAGAGCATCACTCACTGCTCAGAAGCTATGTTGTTTTCTTCCTCAACAAGTTACTGGCTCAGAAGTTGTTCTTGTTTTGTTCCCTGTATCATTACTTAAACCCTATATAACTTCTAAGTTAATGATAACCCATTAATAGCTAGGCCCTTGCAGCTAGGTGGACTAGCTCTAATATATAATTTTCTTGGCATTCCTATTTTATGAATATATATCCCACTATACATGCAGTCAAAGGCATTGTTTGTTTTACAGAAGACTGTTATTTGCTTGAGGATATATTTCTGCCAAGATACAAAACAAACATAATCATTTTTAAAATCTATTACTTTATTAATCTGTGTATATCAGTTTATGATTCATATTGTGTTGTAGACTACACAATTCAGCATGAATTTGTTGGTTAACCATGTGTGTAATTTGTGGTCTTTGTTTTCCAGGGATCTCATTTTCCTAGACTTGGTGAAACTTATATCTGTGGTAGACTTTCTAGTAGATTAATTTTAAAATGGTTTTATTGCTTGACTTTTTTTTTTTTAAAGATTTATTTATTTATTCGTATAGAACTGGGGTACAGGCCAGAGATGCAGAGGGTGAGAGGATTCACCAGAGACAGAGTGGGGTACAGAACAGGCAGATCGACGAAGTACACTGCTGAGGGGAGCAGCCAGCGGGTCAGGAGAGGTCTGCCATGCCATGTGGATCTCCTCCAGGGCAGGCGGGGATCGAACTCATGCGGAAGTGGTTTAAGCTTCTTTGTGCTGTGCTTTAACCCGCTGCACCACCAGAGAGGGCCTATGGTTTGACTTTTAAAATCTGGAGTAGCCACATGAATGATTTAAGATACTTGATGAATACACACTGCCATTTGTTTCATCAAATATCTGCAGATACTTTTAAAGAATTATAAGATTATTATAGGTCCAACTTTGAAAATTCTGTTACCAAATCCAGTTTTTGAAAAAACTGCTGAATAGTTACTTGAAAATAATTAAACAATGATTGTAGCTTTGTTGTAATATAGCTGGAATTTGATCGGTTCTATAAAATGAAAGATACAGTGGTTGTATTTTAGATAGAAGTCATCTTCTGAAGCAGCAACCTTCATTTTTCACTTAACAATCTTGGCTATGTGTTCATATGTGAACGTTGTACTTGAACTTGTAGTTGTGTACAATTTATTTATTCTGTTACACTTCATAATTAATAAGTTTGTTACTATGTAGTTGGCCTTGGCAGAGTTATGTGAAGATGAAGTGAAATACAAATCTCCCAAACCTAATAGACCTAAAGCTACAGTCTTTGCAAGTTCACGGACACCCCCTCAAAGGTAAGATTTGTTTTGTTTCTGTCTTGTTCTGGTTTTAAAGACCCTTTCAGTTCACTAATCCCAGATTATTTTAAATGGCCTTGAAATATTTTTTTTAATGTGTTCTTAAAATGAATATTGTTTAGGTTCCAATTCGAAAACTGTAATAGAAAGTTACAGGACACTCATGGAAAGTGTCTTAAATACCTAAAGTAGAGGTAGACGATATATAAAATTATGTACTAAGTGATATTTTTATTTGACACAATGATTCTTTTGAGTCTTACTAGGCCTCATTGAGAATCTGAAAGCTTAGCCACTTTGACCCCAAACAATATTTATGTACAGTTTTGGGGTTTTTGAGGTTACATCACGAGTTTCTTAAAGTCCATTCATGGAGCCCCTGTGTTTTTTTGTCTTTCATTTAGGAATTTATGTAACTTTTACAAATATGCTATAATTACTTTGAATGATAACCTATGAAATACATGCTGTCCTAGATTACTATCTAGTATTTGCTGCTAAAAAAAAGTCCATAAGCTAAGAAAAAAAAAAATCATGAGCTATTAGGAAAAGAACTGTGAAGATTTGAAGATTTAAGAGATGAGAGCTGAATGTAGTTTATTGTCATGATTTTTCTCATTTCCAGAAATAGTTTCATTAGTATCTTTTCAGTACTATAACTGGGCAGAAGTTTGAATTTTCCCATTGTATCTTATTGTATGAAATCTGTTAATTTACCAAAAGTTGGAAAATTCACTGAAAATAGCTCTTATTTTACTTGTCACTACTCATTTTCTTTCTTTTTGTAAAGGATAAAAGTAACAAGTCTTTGTGAACCTGAATGAGAATGAGTAACATTTACACTTTCCACTCCCCTACTATTTTTATTTCCGATTGTTTTTTCTATCTTGAAGTCTTCCTCCATTTTTATATTTTTCGTGCTTTATTTTATTTTATTCCATTTGCATATTTCTTTCTCACTTCCATCCCAGGTCCCGTTGACTCTCCCTCTCTTATCCTTAGACATCTCACTATGTTAATTAGTGTACATTACTTTTTGTAAGAACACCTTCCATTTTGTTGTAAATAGTAACCATTAGACTTTCCTGATGTCTGCATAGTATTCTTTAAAGTGGATATATTTACCACATCTTAATCTAATCCTCTGTCAAGTGGGCACTTTGTTTTCATGGCCAAGTTATTTTAAGTAATGCTGCCATAAACATTGTAGAGTATGTAACTTCTTGACTTGATGATTACATGTCTTTGGATAATGGCCCAGGAGCAGAATTGCATGGTTATAAGGTATTTTCCTTTTTTTACTTTTCCAAGTAAATTGGCTGTACCAGTTCACATTCAATCTCCACGAACCCATAGTGTTTCTTTTTCTCCACATCTTCTGCAGCACTTGTTGGAGGTCTTTTTTTTTTCTCAGAATTGTGAGGTGATAACTCATTTTGCTTTTAACCTGCAGCTCCCTTGTTAAAAGTGATGATAAACGTTTTTCTATCTACCTATTGATCTTCTGCTTACCTTTTTTTGTTAAACTGTTCACATCCTTGGCACATCTATTAATTGGCTTGTTTAATTATTATATGGAATGATTTTCTCCCATTCAGTGGGATGTCTATCACATACTTTCCTTTTGGCTGTGTAAAGACTTTTTAGTTGGAGGTAATCCTTATTATTCATTTTTGCTTTTATTTCTATTGTTGTAGAAGTATAGGGATCAAGTCTCCAAAAAACATCTTTATTATTGAAATCATGAAGCATATTGCCCATGTTTTCGTCTGTACATTTTATTGTTGCAAGTCTGTATCTTGTAAGTCATTAATACATTTCAAATTCAGTTTTGTTCATGGAGTGTGCTGCAAATTCATTCTTTGACCTGTGACCTTCTGGTTTTCTCAGCACCATTTGTAGATTCTCCTTTTCCATCATAGCACTTCACCTGTTAAAATTTCAGCATGCATCCCCCCCCCCACCGCCCCTGTAAGAGATATTCTTTATAAACTTGATGATATGTCACATCCTAGAAAATAAACAGTAATTTTATAATATAATCAAATATGCAGTTCATGGCCATGTTCTTAAAACATTTTTTGAATTTGGAATCCAACCAAGAACCAAACATTCCATTTGTTCATGCCTGTTTTGACACTCAGATGAGTTTAAATAGAGAATGAGTCATGAATATAGACATAAAAGAGGAGAAATGGGTTTATTGTGAATCTAAAAATGAAAGGAAATAATTAAACTAATAGGAGAAAAATAGACTATTTTCATGACCTTGACATATGTAAAGATTTCTTTAGCAGGTTATAAAAAACATTAACCATAAAGGAGTTAGCAAGTCTTTTCCTTACTAACTCAGTTTTTTCTTGCAAAGTATTTTTCACCAAGACTGAGCTTAGAAAGGAACTCTAAGCAGTATTTTGCCATATTAAACACCTGGAGCTGGGAGAAAAGAGCTACAGCAAGAGGTTACTGCAATGGGAAGCTTTGCTTTGCTTTCTGATCTTTACACTCTCAATCTCTAGGTCACTTCACTAACCTGGACTCTACTGAATGTGGATACTACTGAGTCTGAATTCCTCAGAGAAAGAGAGCTCCTGGTGTCAATACTGCTTTTCACCATCATAAAAAAAAAATGTTTAAGTTGTGAAAAAGATGCATTTGATATGCAATTCAAAAGGGATGCAGGAGGAAAAAACAAGCCAGTTCTTATGCTGGAGGCTGAGCTTGCTACCAAAATCCCTGCAAACTCCATGAAATACTGTATGATCTAGCACTAACATTATGTATTTATATTTCCCATTTTCAAAATTAAATATTTTCACAGAAATCATACAGATTATTCTTTTTAAATTAAACTTATTTCTAAAGACTATGTAGCTTTTTATTTGAAAGTAGTTTATAGATGTATTCTAATTTTTTTATTCATGAACTATATGTTTAAAGGCTCTGTTCAAGTGAGCATGAATACAGTGGATTACATATAGTTCGACCTTCAACTGGGGAAATTGTGAATGAACTTTTCAAAGAGGCAAGGGAGCATGGGGCTGTCCCTCTGAGTGAAGCTGCAAGAGCTTCAGGTGATGACAAATCTAAGGTAAGTGTTACGGTTTAAAAACTACATTATTTATATATTTAATCTCCTTTATAGTTTTTTATATTATTTGCAAACTGTTTTTTCAAAGTTGTGTATATTTGTTTTAAATATTTGCTTCACTTTTTAAGATTGTTTTCCTAGGAAGTTATATTCTTATGATTAACATTTCTCAACCTGAATTTCCAGGTCAAAAGCAGTTAGGGAGATTTTCTAAACCATGATATGACCTCATGATATGGCTTAGTAAGTTTCAAGTGTACCTTGTCATAATGGTTTTTGAAAAAGACACTCCATTAATTATGGCAGATATCCATGAATGAGAACCTCTATTCTAAATGAAACATTTTACTTCCTATTTTGTTATTTACCAACAACTTTAAGTTCTTTTCCAGTCAATTCTAGTGTAACTTTGGTCCTTGCAATTTTTCCAGTGCTATAGAGGATTTTATGATTTATATAGCAAAATAAAAAGTATAAGATAGTTGATTTGATATGGCTGAATGAACGAAAGCAGCCTGTAAAACAAGCTTTTCCTCATAGTAATATTATATATACGCTTATAAAATTCTTCCTTTACTCTATGAGAGTCTTATTTTACTGTGTGAAGTATGATTTAAGCATTATAATTTTTATTATAACATGTAAAATACTGCTGGTGAATATTTTCAATCTGCTTCTACTTCAAAACGTGTATTTCAGGGCCACCCTGGTGACCTGTGGTTAAGTCTCAGCTCTAACACACAAGGTCTACCACGATGACCTGAATTCAATCCCTGGCCAGGGGGCTGACCCACATATGGTACAGCAGACCTCTTTCTTACCCTGCTGCGCCTCTTAGCCATGTATTTCAATAGGTCTGCCTGTTCTGCTCCCCACTCTGTCTCTAATGAATCCTCTGACCCTTTGCACCCAGTGCCCTATACCTCTGGCTCAGACCTCAGTTCTTCTACATACACACACAAAAATAAGCAAATAAAAAATGTATATCATACATTAACGTAATATGTTCCTCAATAAACCATAATGAAATGTGGCTCACTTGCTATGTATTCTAGTCATTTACAGGTGGAGGATACAGATTGGGTAATTCCTTTTGTAAGAGGTCTGAATACATCTATGGAGAAAATCAGCTACAAGATGTAAGTACAGTAACCAAAATGAAAAATCACAGATTTTGTTTCTAATTATACACAGTTTGCTGTAAAACTTAAAAAATGGTAGTATAATAATTACAATATATTACTGTAATTTTACTTTTTGAGACATGAATTAAAAAGACAGTTTTTAGACTAGTTTTATATTTTGTAGCTTACTTGCACCTTGAACTTAGACATGTAACTATTGAAAGATAATGTATGATGTTGAAAATACTTTACATATATACTTTAATAATTATTATAAATATTATGTTTCCATTATTAAGTGAATTGAGCTGTAACTGTAGAAGCACCTAAAGTTATTCTTTGTTGCTTTTTGAAATTTTAAAGTTATAATTTAATTTTACTCAAGTGTAATTTAGCCTTGGAAGGTTACAGGGCATTCTTTTTTGCCCCTTATGACTATTTAGCTCTGCTTCAAAAAAACAATATGGGTACAGTCGAAATAGTGGGTACAGAGTGACAGCTATGATTTCTCAGTGAAGCAGGTATAGTTGTACTTCAAGGCCAGGTGCAACTGTTTGTGAGATCTTTGATATTTCAGTCATTGTCAGTTTGCTAAACTAAATGTCAGTCTGCTTGGTTCTGTTATTCCTTTAGCTATGAATAAAAACTAATATGACTAATTCCATACTTTTAAATTGTTTAATATAAAATATCACAGCTGAAATATAAAAATTTTAATGCAAATGGGTTCTTGTATTCTATTTCTTTTTTCCCTGTACTCACAAGGTTCAAATATTGCTTAAATTGTGGAGCAATGGTTTCAGTTTAGATGATGGAGAATTGAGACCTTACAGTGACCCAACAAATGCTCAATTTCTAGAGTCTGTTAAAAGAGGGTAAGTGTATTATTTATATTCCATTTGTTACGGAGGTTGGAACTTTTTTTAAGCATCAGTGCACTATTGGTATTAGATAATGGAATATATTGTATGATGTAAGTGGCTGCTGAGAGCAAGACTTTTAGGCTATATTGTTATCTGTAAGTCACTGGTTCTCAAGTTTGGCTGGGGGACAATAAGACATTGGTCCCATTCTAAATGTGATGAAACCATGGATCAATTCTGAGAAAAAAGTTGCTTATGTAATAAATCCATGAGTTGATGAGTAGATAGCTACCATTCCACTAAGCCACTGTCCTGCTTATAGTTGACAGGATTATCCTCATTACATGTATGCCTGAAATTCAGCGACTTACATTAGAAATATTTTTTTTAAAGATTTATTTATTTTTGCATACAGAACTGGGGTACAGGCCAGAAGCTCAGTGGCGGTGAGAGACTTCACCATAGACAGAGTGGGGAACAGAACAGGCAGATTGACGAAGTGCACTGCTGAGGGGAGCAGCGGGCGGGTCAGCAGAGGTCTGCCACGCCATGTGGTCACCTCCAGGGCAGGCGGGAATCGAACTCATGCGGAAGCAGCTTTAGATTCTGTGCTGTGCTTTAACCCGCTGCGCCACCAGGGAGGGCCCACATTAGAAATATTTTAAAGTGGCATTACTGCTGGCAGAGGATTTCAGAGGGTAATTTAAACTTATGATTTATGCAAATAAACTAGATATAAAGTGCTCTAACCCATCTAAAGGATTCACCAACCCTTCTTGCTAAAGGATGAGGCATCAGGTGATTTTGATATGATAATAAAAGTTTTTCTGAAAAAAAAAAAGTTTTTCTGTATTATGCTTTATGTACTTCTCACAGTGGGATCATTCCTAAGAAGAAAAAGTTAAGACAAAGTCAGTAATGAACTGGAACATAAAATAGGTAGTGAGCGGTTTCAAGTTAAGAGGTTATATTCAATCCAGGAATTGAAGGTATGACTTTTCTAAGTGATGAAATATGTCTAAAGAGAGTGGCTATAGTAGAGTGGAGATGAACTTCACTGGAGTTCAAGTTAAGAAACTTGAAGCAAATGTATTTTAAAACACTAATTAGAAGGAATTTGAGCTTGATTTCTACAAAGATAATTAGCATACAAAAAATAGTCAAGAAGTGTTGTAAGCCATTAAGCTGAAGACACTGAAAAACATGGAGTACTGTGGACTCAGAAACTTGCATAATCACTGGGAAGAGCTTGGGCCATCTGGGTAGAGGAAATGTTCATCTGCTAAGTGAGGAACTACATTTCCGTTGAAACTGATGTTTATTTCAGGATGATGGAGGGAAAGAACGTGGAAGAGAAAAATAGCGTAGATCAAAACTAATTTATTATTAATTGAAAATAATCCATAAAGTTTGTAGACTAATAGGTAAACAATCTTGGTTTACTGCAAGTGCAAATGATGGTGAAAAATAGTTTTAGAGAATACAGAAAAAATATCGATGTCAAGTGATTGTCAAACTGTATAATCTTTGTCCCTTTTGTCACCAGTTATTTTGTGATAGTATCTTCACTGTCCTCAAAGAATTCATAGACAGTCTATCTCTATGCCTGTTATTTCTAAAATCTTGATACAAAATTTATCTTAAATATATCAAAAAATTAAAGTACGATCATCATAAAATATAACATTAAAAATATACAATGATATAAACTGCATAAATATTACATAAATACACATAGAAATGTATTATTTCATTTTATAAATGCTTGAGAAGGATAAGACCACAAAAATACATAATAAAGTAGATAGTTCCAAACAGAACAAAATGGCAGTTCTCCCTTAGTTTACATAGTAGCTTATATAGTAGATGCATACCTTGAAATTTAAAAACAAAACAACACAATAAAAAAAAATCTAAGTAACTCAAATTATAAGCAATATTGCCATGCACATGAAATTCTGGCAGGAAATTTTGGTGGGTCTGTGGAACCTGAGCCTGACTTCATTGTGTAAGCATGCCATGCTGGAGAAAACCGCCACATGTACTCGGGAGTCTGAACAACCAAAGGCGTTCCTACCAATTTTCAAACATCCCTTCGGTAGTTTAGAAATAAATATCTGCATTGCCTATTAATATGTCCCATAGAAGTTATTTAGTGCTAACTTAGATATAACTTACTGTTTTACAATTTGATACTATAAATATGAGAAGCATTTCAAGATCACTGTGACAACAAAATCCCTGTTGAGGATCACTAAAAATAAGCACTTTTATTTATGGCCTACTGTGTTCTGGACATAATGCGCAGTGCAGGGAGACATATTGGCCCAGTTTTGTATAATGCAACTTTAATAAAGAAATATCTAGGGCCCTCTCTGGTGGCGCAGTGGGTTCAAGCACTGCACTAAGAAACTAAAGCCACTTGCGCATGAGTTCGATTCCCGCCTGCCCCAGAGGTGACTACATGGAGTGGCAGACCTCTCCTGACCCGCCCGCTGCTCCCCTCAGCAGTCGTTCTGCTCCCCACTCTGTCTCTGGTGAAGTCTCTCGCTGTCCCTGAGCCTCTGGCCTGTACCCCAGTTCTGCATACACAAATAAATAAACCTTTAAAAAAAAATATCTACAGAGACTAATTAATCATCATGGGCATTTTTGTATTAATTGTAAGCAAACTGTCTTCCAGTATAGCTCACCACTTGATTATAGTATTCTTTATAGTAGATTCTTTTCTTTTTTCTTGTTATCTTAATTAAATCAAAGCTGTTTTCTTCTTTCTTAAAAGAGAGATTCCCTTGGAACTTCAGCGACTTGTGCATGGTGGCCAAGTGAATTTGGATATGGAGGATCATCAGGATCAAGAATATATAAAACCAAGATTGAGGTTCAAGGCATTTAGTGGAGAAGGACAAAAACTCGGAAGGTAACACCTTAAAATGAGAAAATACTACTTGTCCTAATTCAACACGAATTTTCTTTAAGAATACAAAGAGCAAACTCACCTAGAAAGAAAAACAAAAGTATGAACTTTGAAACTCTTACTGATAAGAAGTTAGTTATACAAATCTGATGATATCAGTATCTTAAATTTAGCAATTACTACATTCCTGACCTCTAAACATTTTATGTATATTAACTTTTAAATCTTCACAATACCCCTTTGATATAAATCCTGTTATTAATCCATTTTGCGGGTGCATCTATCCCAAGTGATTGAGCTAAGGTGTCTTTAGCATAGGGGATTCAAACCAAGCAGCCTCTCTTGCTCCCTGTGCCATTCTGCCTCTCTATGATGGCCTGGGTCCAAAAGGGGGAATTATAAAGACTTGATGATTAGGTGAAAGATCATAGTTTTAAGCAGGCCTGTATCCAGTAAATAACTACTACTCATGCAGGAAGATGCAATGTGCTTTAGTGGCTTTTGATATATTTTAAGCAGTGAAACATGCTTTGTTGTGGAAGAACAATAAGTAAAACACATAAATCCTGAGTTCTTCTGATGATAGGTGGAAGAAATGATCTCTGAGACATTTCCAAGAATCCCCAGGACTTTGGCAAGCACAATTCAAAAACTAATGTGTACAGTATAATGTATGAGTGGGTTCCCTTATAATAGCATTGGTTGAGAAGAATCAACCTTACAAAGTATGTTAGTAAAAGTTAACTTTCTGTTGGTCCACAAATTACTACAGAGACATGTAGAATTGTAGCACCTCCCAGATATCTCAGTACCTTTTTGTGGTTCTTTGTTATGGGTTCCTGTGAGCTGGCAATTAGCTGACCGCTCATGGGCCACTGTGACCTATTTGCTGTGTGCACAAAGCAGAGTATCATACCCTCACTGCCTATGGAAAATAGCTTGTATCGTGAGGCAGGCCCAGGGTCACCTAGGCTGCCATTGATCTGTTTACGTGGCTATCTCCATGGCAGTCTTGGGATAACTCTACCTGTGATATCATATTTTGCTGATGCAAATGTCTCTTGACACCTGGTCACACTGTGACTTTCCCTACGCCCCATTCATATCCTACCCTCAGACCCTATTCCTCATACCATTATCGCATGATCAACTTTTACTGTCCTGCATGATTTCCATAAATGGCACAAGAACCGCTCAAGCAGCAAGCAGAGTCCTGCCTTTCAAAACTGCTCCACGACTGCTGGGTCTCTCATCAGGTTCCCACCTCAAAGCCAAGTGGCAACAAAGTTCCTGTCATAATACTTTGATACTCTCATAGGACCCTTCTCTTCCAGAAATTGTTAAGTAATATTAATTGGATTTAGATTAATAATGTAGTGCTGGTCATATGTGCATAAATTAGCTAGCATCCATTGAAACACTGTATTAAGAACTGACTGGTATAACATTCATAACATAGTTTTACTCACCCTCATCTCCATTTTATAAATGACAGAACTGGGTTTCAAAGAGATTAACTTACTAACTCCAGTTCACATAAAAGACATAGCTGAGATTTAAAGCCATGTCTCTGCTCTTAGAGTGTTGATCAGATTTCTTACTTAAGACTGTGTTCAACAGTCTCCTGAAATTTTAGCAGAATAAAGGAGGAAAGAATAACAGAGTTGGAGTTTTGAAAGAATTGGGTACACTCAATCAAAATCATAAAGATTTTATATAATGAAAGCAGTTGGATGAAGTATAGGAAACTCACAAAAAGCTGTGTTCTTGCTTATCCATATGTCATAGAATCATAACTCTGAAGTGGTTATCATACTGTCCTCAGCTTGACATATGTCTTACGTATTAAGATTTGTGGTCTTACTCTTCAATTCTTTTTTCTTAGCCTTACACCTGAAATAATCAGTACGCCTTCCTCCCCAGAAGAAGAGGATAAGTCAATACTTAATGCTGTTGTTCTTATTGATGACTCAGTGCCAACAACAAAAATTCAAATCAGATTAGCAGATGGGAGTCGTCTGATACAAAGATTCAATAGTACACACAGGTAATCTTCCAGTTTATTGTTATATACAAATTTACTTATCCTATTACAGAGTTACTAGGTATCTGTATATGAAAGTAATTTTTAAAACGTATTCTCACGATTTAACACTTTTCGTAACTTTAAATTCATCTTCACACAGGGCCAACCTAAGTGATTATTTCCTTGGTTGTGTGCTACTAGTCATTTTTTTAATTCTGCACGTTCAATGTAATAACATTGTTGATATTTATTTTATGCAGAACTCACCCAAAGATTGTCCATGCTTCATAGAAAAAATAAATACTAAGAACACTCCAAAGTTAACCCTCCCATTTTGTCTTAAAAATAGGATGAAAAAAAAAGTCCCATCCACTGAAATAATTGCAAGCAAGTTAAAACATGTTTAAATAAAGGATTGGAATCATGTAATTTTTATTGTTATCTAATTTTAGCTTAAAGCTAACTTGACAATAAAGTTGTATCTACCAGTTATTTTTGTCTTACTTCTTCAGGATCCTGGATGTCCGAGACTTTATTATACGGTCCCGACCTGAATTTGCAACTCTTGACTTTATTCTTGTGACTTCATTTCCTAACCAAGAGTTAACAGATGAAAGCCTGACACTTCAAGAAGCAGATATCCTTAACACTGTGCTACTCCAGCAACTAAAGTAATATTGCTCCAACCTATTCAGTAGCATATAGGAAAGATAATGTGCCATAGAAATGAGGAAAATACTTAGAATATAAAAAAGTATTTTTATTATTTATACAGAGAAATTTTCTCTCTTTTTTTTTCTCTTCTATTTTCCAGCCTTAGTACTGTTGAATTTGGACCAGAAATAGACCTTGAGTATAAATATGTATGAGTTCTTTGTTGTAGGGTTGGTTTATGTTAATAACTTTTAAAAATTCGGACAAACCATTCTGTTACATGCTTTGTTTCCTTTTTGTAGAGAAAATGAACAAAACCCCATTTTGATAAATGCATTTATTAAAATTTGCACTAAAGTTTCTTAATGCTGCATTTGATCAGCAACCATTAAGAAACCTGATACAAAATTTAGATTTGTTTCTCTGATATATACTGGAAAGTGTCTGTATTCTGATTTTCAAATACTTTGATCATGCAATAATCATTTCTCCTCTTAAGATTTTTTTTCCATTTTTTACTCACTGATTTAACCATGTTATTAATATCATGGTTAAATAATATAATTTGACCTTGTATTTTGCAAAACTATGACCAGCATAAACTAGAAATAAAGACATAAAGGTCGCAGTACTTGGGGAGACATGGTTAACAGCATGTTAAAGTGATCATTGCAGTCCCTTGCAGAGTCTGCCTAGATCACACTCATTTATTAACTTAACACATTTTTCTAGGAGACCCACTATATATATTGTAAACACTGTTCTCAGTGTTCAACCTAGAAATTATTCTGCTCTAGAATAAAACAAGTTTACAAATACAGGAACATAAACTCTGTCCAACAGATATGAAGAATTAGCTGCCTGAATGTTGGTATTTCTGCTGAAACCGTGTATTCTTGAATGAGATCAGTTATAGCAGGAAAGCAAAAAAAGATTTTTTATCTTTCTAGATAACACTTCATTTTAGTTACTACACTTGGTTAGTTTTTTATTGCTGCTGTAACACGTTACTACAAATTAGTGGATTAAAACAGCACAAATTTATTACCTCTTAATTCTATAGGTTAGGCATCCAAAATAATTCTCACTAGACTAAAGTCAGTATTGACAAGACTGTTGAGTTCAGGGGGGTCTAGGGGAGAATCATGCCCTTCCTTCCCAGCTTCCAGAGCCCATTTACATTCTTTGGCTTGTAACCCCCTTTTTCCATAGACCAAACCAGCCACACCGTTTCTCTGAACCTTCTCTTCCATCCCATCTCTGACATCAGCTGGGAATATTCTCTGCTTTTAAGGACTTGAGTAATTTGATTGGATTCTGTGGCTGACGTAGATTTAGCTTCCCACCATCATAAGGTTCTTAGTAACCTCATCATAAAATTCCTACTGCCATGTAAAGTAACATATCACAGTTTTCCTGTGGACACTCCAGGGGAGAATCTGTTCTTTACCTCTTCTAATTTGCTGCTGGCATCCTGCACTCATGACTACCAGCCCCCCTCTGCCTTTATCCTCAGCTCTTTTATAACCAACTTTTAATTTCCTCTTTTTACTCTTGTTTACATTTGGCCTACCTAAAAAATATACCATGATGGTCATATCATTTCAAGATATTTACTCATATCTTCAAAATCCCTTTTATCATGTAACACATTCACAGGTTTGGGGTTTTAGTACATGACCATTTGCTCTGTGCCTACCACAGATCATTCGCCCAGTAATTCAAAGCCACCCCTTTTAAAGGTGCTCAAAAGACTCAATCCAAAATATTACCTGAATCTTACAAGCTCTAAAGTTCCCTAACTAATTTAAATCAGTCAAGTATGAGTGAAGATCTGGGTATGATCCCTAGCACATAGTTCTTCTGACTATGGCTTCTGTCAATCCAGAAAACCAGTTATCTATTACTAAAATAATGGTGTGTTACCAGAAATTTTCAAGTCCTACTGCTTGTCCCTGTAGATGCCAATGAGCAGGGACAGGAATTAAATGAATAAAAAGAGTGTTTATTTAGATTTCAGCAATCTGGGAATGGTGAGCTTACCACTCTCGAAAAACTGTCCTGACATCTCCTCTCTGACTGCCTGTTTTATAGTGAGTCAGCTTATCAGAATAGCCCATCATATTGGTATTACTGGTGTTTATCACATTCAGCGCCCTGAGTTTGTTCTCAGCTTCCTGGTTATCTGCACCTGGCCTGCTAAGCTTAGTTAATTTCTGAAGGTGTCAGTACCCTGCACTCACTTGGGAACCACTAGGCAAGAATCTGAGTTCAAAGCAAGAGTCAGTTCTAAAAAAGACATATCCTTAGTCACAGTGAGTACAGGTAGCCTTTGCAGATTCCTGATGTGTTGGTGCAGATTCCTGTACTAGATACAAAAGCCTCCCCTCCCTCACCCCTGTCACTGGGACAGAAAATAACAGAGACATTCTTGGTCAAGAAAAAGAAAAATGGGATTTAAAAAAAAGAAAAGCAACCAGTGGGTGCTGTGCAATCTAGAAATACAGACATGCACATTCCAATAAATTTTCAATCCTGGGGTTAATCTGACAATTCCAACCCCTCAGTTTATGCCTCGATCATCTCTCCTTTCATGAAGGAGGGCATGTGTTTGCCGCTGAGTGGTTTTATCAGCTTGTTTCTTACCAATAGAATTGTGGAAGATCCAACCATGATTTCACCCTTTACTCCTTTCAGCTTAAGGTGGCAAATATTGGCAAAAGTTACACCCTCATCTTTCGTAGAGCAGGCTTTCTTGATAGTGAATTTCTTGAATTATTTTCTTTTGCAACATCGGTGGTTAAGAATTTCCGAGTCTCTAGCTTCTTCAGTTTATCCATTTCTCACACTTTTGCTACGGTGAGCAAGAAGTAGGCTTTGCCTTCCATGCTTAACTTAGAAATCTATTCAGTTCAATATCTGAGTGTAACCAACTGCTTTCCGTGGAACTTGAAGACATAATTCAACGGGCTTTTTGCCACTATAGAACTAGAAGATCTTTCCCTTTGATTTCCAACAGAATGTTCCCTCTTGCCTTCTGAGGCCTCATTGGAAGTGCCTTTAGTGTCCTTGTTTCTAGTGACAGTCTCTTCACATCACTATAGATATTCTGTGGTGATTTAAGCATTTTCTGCCATATTCCTTATCCTGCTCACTGCCATTAATAGCCATATTTCTACTAGCAGAGTTTAAGGCAATTTAAGGTTTTATTTTTGTTATGTCCCTCAAAATTCTCACAACCTCTGCTCACTACGCAATTCCAAAGTAACTGCTGCATTTCTATATATTTGTTTCAACACTGCCCCTTTCCAGTAATGATAAAAGTGCACTATGCCTACTCACTGCCAATTGACCTGAATGTTTTAGTAGAAGATTTGGAACTTGCCTTTTTTTCTGGTGGTTTAGTTATTTCGAGAGGATGTATTTACCCTTTAGGTTGTTTATACTTGAGGAACTGTTCTCAGAACCAGGAAAGAATTGATTCTACCACCTCAGGAAACAAATATAGAATAGGAAGACTATTGCTAAATAATTCCTTCAGAATAAGAAGTCTTGTTCATTTCTGCTAATTGACTGCAACATGGAGACTACATATTTATAATAGATCAGTCTCAGTTCAAAAAGATTACCAGGGATAAACTACACTTTCACATGAGCTTCCTAAGGAAATAATCTATTGGAACAGTTGGACACTTTCAATAAAAGGGCACTGCCTTGTTTATGTTAATAAAACAGGGAAATTAAATCCAATAAGGCTAGTTAAAATTGTACTCAACCTTCTTATGAATTAAGTGGAGTGCCTACAGATAACGCATATAGAAAATAGGGCATTTTTGTATATAGTAGTCTTCCAAAATAGAGATTACTTTAGAAAAGATAAACATTCAGAAGGCTAACCAGACTTTCAAATGAACTACATAGTGTTTTACTGCAGTAAGTCATTTTCTGGAACTTTTTGCTACTTCAGTCACTGTAACTTTTAAAATTTATATTTTCAACAAAGATTATGTCAACAGATTGCCATTTGTGATGTCAGTTGTTTTTGCATGACATGTAATTAAAACGTTTTAAGTGTGCTTACCAATAAAGAATGTTTTTACCAAAACTTGTTGAAATCTCTTAGTTTGCAGTTAATGGAGTATTTTAAGCATGAGTGACATTTCCTGTGGCTTAATTTCCTGTGGTGTCTTTTGAAGCAGAGAAGGAACTGAGTTGTACCAATGTTACCTCCATTTCCCAATGCTGTTTCTATTTTACTCCACAAAAATAAAAGCTGCAAATACTTCTTAATTGTTTGTCATAGTAGATTTCTAAACGCCTATCACAACTTGCATCACTGATAAAGTTCATGTTTTCCTCTGATAAAGTTGTCACTGATGAGTGATAAAAATTAACATACCTCATGTGGCCAATGTTGTCATAAAGGATGAGAGAAACATTTAGTATAGTTCTCTGCACAATTTTAAATTCTTTAACCCCATTAAAGGAGCTGTGACGCACATGTATGTATATAGCACAGGAAAATTACATGTATTGGCCCAGAATTGTAACTGTAAGTCTACTGAACAGTTAGTCCTCTTTAGAATTTATAGCTATGACCTAGATCTCTGAAAGAAAAAACAAAATTTGCACCTGAGGACTTATTTTAGAAAAATGTTTCTTATATGAAGCTGATACATTGTTCTAAGCAGCTGCACCCAAAAACGATCTTTCCATTTATGACATTGTGGATAGAAATGGAGATACTTAAGTAAAATGAGTCAGGAGAAAAACAAGTATCTGTGGACTATAGAGAGATGGAGGAATAGACAAATCTATGCCAAAACAACCCAGAAGAACTGAAGCTACAAAAGAGGGTGTCAAGACAAACAGAGGGGTGGAGATTGCCACAAACGGCAATAACTTATATTTTTTGATAGCTCAGTAGCATTCTGGCATGTGAGACCTTCCCAGTCCAAGTGTATTTGAGCATTATCAATGATCATAATGTATGTAGATGTTACTATTTGAAATAAAATATACATTGGTATTCCAGGCCACTCAAACTAACCTGACTTTACATTCTTTACGTTCTTCTATATTAAGCATTATTTGATTCATTTGCAAGAACTATCTAATCTTAGAGACAGCTACTTGAGCTTAACATTTTTTGAGGGTTTACTAAGAACACAGCCTTATTTTTAGCAAAGAGTAGGTTACTTCTGGTCATTCTGATCTCAGCTTAAATATGATTTCTTCAGAGTCTTTCTCTGATGCCTCAGTCTAAAATTATTCCCTTGTTCCTTACCCTGTTTATTGTAACATAAGCAACACTGATACCTGATAATTGTTTCATTTTATACCCATCTGCTAACATGAAGACAATCTCCTTTCCCCCAGTTTCTCAGTGTAAGTCCCCTTAACCACTGCTGTATCTCTAGAGTCTAGAACAAGGTCCTATTATAGGAATCACTCAGTAAATGGTCACTAAGCAGTAAGTCAGTAATTATTAAGAATGGAACCGTTTGAGCATTTCTTTTTCTTTTTTTAATTTCTTTTTATTTTTTACATCATTTGAGAGTTAAAATAGTGTCAGTGCAAATAGGGTTACTGCTGTTGAAAAAAAAACAGTACATTTTGGTTGGATTTTAAAGGAAAGAGAAGAGCAGTGTTGTAGAAGATCTGCATTGTTTCATTTCCAGGAATGGTAACAATAAATAAATAAGTGAGTAATCCTAGCAGTTCCCCAGGAGAAATTCAAAATTGGGGTGAAGAGGGCTAAGTAATGCCTGCCTGTGAACTTAGTAGTATGTGAAATAACTGGAAGTTTTCTGAATCCCAGTAGAGAGTGCTAGAATTTTCAAGTCCCTGGAAGTGTAAAGAAAAGTGAGAACACGACGAAGACAAAGTAGAAGCTATTCAACTCGTTAAGTTCTATTTGATTACTCAGAAAGGCATGCATGTCACTGGTTATGTAGTTTCACTGTTCATAATATTTTTGAATAGATTTTATCTCTATGTCAGGGTTAAAAATATGTCTAGTCTTATAATATTAGCCATTGATATCTTAAATATCTCATGTTACATTAATACCTCAAAAGTGTGAAAGGTGATATTATGGAATTTCATCACAGTAAATCAGAAGTTTACTAAAATATGAGTAAACATTTTTGCTAACTGAAAAGCTGCAGGAAATCAGATGACACCAGTGCTTTTAATTATACATCATGTGTGCTTTTGAAATCAAAGTAGTTTAAGGAGTTGTTGATTTTGGCCGTACTCTCTGTATAATTGACCTTACCAAAAAAAAGTCTCACCAGTCATTGTAATTGTTCTGTTCTCTAAATTAACCCCATTACTCAATCTTCCACGCAAGCAGAGAAGGCAGAAATGACCTGGAGTTACGGATTTCCAAATAACCTTTAAAAACAGGTGTAGGGATGTGCAAGTGTATGTTTTGTTAGTTTCCTTGAAATTTTTTTCTCATAAAATGATATTATAAAATTCTCTTAATTTTGACATTACTTAGTAACACCTTTTATGTGTGCTAATATATTCCACTATTACTTATGTAACTTGAAAGATATTTTAACATAAATACAAATCATAAGTGTATTTGACATTATCGGGGTTCTTAATGTGAAGTCATTCAAGTAAGTGATGACTTTAAACACAGAATCCACACACATATTAATCTTTTTGTTTTAGGTGTAAAAAAAAAAATAACAAAGAAGCAAGGTTTTATTCCAAGTCACACCAAGCTTCAAAGAGTATATGACTTGTATTCAAATATCCTAAGCCCCTCAGATCCAAAACAACTCGGATGATGTATAAAATGTATTCTTTTTCTTTCTATAAATTACTTTTTTTAAGATTTATTTATTTATGCTTACAGAACTGGGGTACAGGTTGAAGATGTGATGGGTGAGAGGATTCACCAGAGACAGAGTGGGGAGCAGAACTGAAATACACTGCTGAGGGGAGCAGTGGGCAGGTCAGGAGAGGTCTGCCATGCCATGTGGGTCAGCTCCCTGGCTGGGAATCAAACTCGTGTCATAGTGGCTTCGGAGAACTTCATAATGCCATGTTTTAACCTTTTGAGCCACCATGGAGAGCCCTAAATTACTTTGTCAGTAAATGTAAAATGATATATTTGCATTTCAGAGGTTTTAAACTTTATGACCTAAGTTTTTCATTTCTTATATACAACAGATCCCCTAAATTGAACTTCATGAATGATTCTCTAATGAAGATTAAGATTTTACTTAATAACTGCATTTAAGCATCTGTGTGGCTATTTTCTCACTATTCTTCTGTTGTAGATAATGCCAGGATTTACCTTTGCTCATAGGCTATGTACTAAAATATCTAAAAATCTTCATATTTTGTCATATTGAGGCAATGATGGTATTGGTGGTTTGTTTTATTCATATACCTTTAAATCTCCAACCAACAACATCAATTATTTGTTACATGCTTCTTTCTCCTGCCTTTCTCTTTTCAGTCTCTTTCCCATATACTTGTAAATATTATTCTAAAACTTTCTGATTCACTGGGGGCTGTCCTTGGAAGAGGAAGTTCTCCCTCCTAAATGTGTAGAGAGAAGAGGCAAGTGTGAACAGCATGAGTTCATGAAAACCTCAGGAGATAAACAGAATAAATTATCCCCATTTTTTTATGAGAGTGATATGTTAGACTGAGAAGACTCACATTGTAAGTAGAGGTGAAGTCAGGTGTCTGCCTTGGTTGTGCTCCATTTCCACTGTCCTGCCGTGTGGTTCACATCACCTCATTTCTTAACCATCATTTGCAGTGTGCACATAGAGATTCCATGGTACTCATTGTACAGACTATTGACAAAAGATAGTTTGCGAAAAGCTATTCAGCAAACAATGGTAGGAGTCAAGCGTTGTAATGAACGTCCATTACGCTAAGTACTATTCTGAAGGATACCCAGCAAAGGTAGTGAAAGCATTACTGCCCTAAACATCCCTAATTATTTTGTCAACAGTCATTATAACAAAACCAAAACCAAAATCAGTAGCAGCTATCAACCAGAGACATTCTTCTGGGGAGAGTAAGAAATTGGATCAAGATGGGAGGGACAAGCACAGAGGATAAGGGTGATGATGCATGGTGACTGGGTGGTAGGAATTTCTTGGGGCCCATACACAAGGTGATAAAACATATACTGTAAAAAAATAATGATTTTGCAATATGTAAAATTTTAAAAATTAAAACTTCAAAAAACAAAATCCTTAAGTGAACTGTTGACTTAGGATGTGTTGGATATTTGGGTTTTATTTAACTTTTTTGAATGGAGTGTGCTAAGTTCAGTATTTTGTGATATTTTTTGTCTTCCTAAAAATGTCATTGCATCAAGAATGATATAGCAGAACAAAACTGTTAGAAGGGGTATGGTACTATTTCTAAAAAAATATTTTGCCTTTTATCTGTACCCGGAGATCTGGATATCAGATTCCTTTTTACCTTGGTCTACTGAAAGAATCTGATATTCAACTGTAAGCCAGGATCTTGAAAGCCCAAAATTTAAAATTATCTAAAAGATGATTATTTAATATACTCCTTTAAAAATCTTGCATATTGGGCCCTTTCTGGTGACACAGCAGGTTAAAGAGCAGCACTAAGAAACTAAAGCCGCTTCAGCATGAGTTCCATCCCAGCCCCTGAGGTGATCCACATGGCGAGGCAGACCTCTCCTGACCTACCCACTGCTCCTCTCAGCAGTGTACTTCCACAATCTGCCTGTTCTGCTCCCCACTCTATCTCTGGTGAATCCTCTCATTGCTCCCTGCACCTCTGGCCTGTACCCCAGTTCTGTGTGCAGAAATAAATAAATCTTTAAAAAAAAATCCTGCATATTAAGACATCTGAGGTAGTGAGGGGGAAGGAAAATAGTTATCTTCAGTATTAGATTACTATAGCAGGTAGCATTGCTTGCCTGATATTAACAATGTTAAAAATGCTATTGTTTACTACAACTTAAGTTACTTCACAAAATTACTCCAATTGCACAGGATCTACAAAAGGGAAGAACTACAGTTCAACCTATCTATAAGTATGTATTCGAGGAGAAAAAACATGAGGTAAAACAATTAGTGAAGAAATTTTTTCATATGTCATCATCTGGCAATATCACATCAGTTGAACTTGGGCACTGTTTGTTAGCCTTTACAAAGATCAATGTGCTGCTGAGAGTAATATGAAATCTAGGAGTTACCTTTGACAAGTTAACTTTAGGACATCTGTGTGTGGGAATTTGGTTACT